CAATCAAGTCTCTGATTATATATAAATGGAAAAAAAATCATCATATGCGCAAGAATTACTATAACCATCTTGCGCACGAACAATGGTGGATCTATTAGGGAGCTGGTGGCACCCCTCACATTTAGATACTAACCTAGGAATAAAATATTATTGTGTATGCATGTGGTGCAGTGGCCAGTAGTAAAACTTTGTCCATTTGGTGTTAAGTTTAATTCATCTTTGTCGCAACTTTTTTATATTTTCATTACAAAAAATCATGATAAGACTTGAATCTTAATATAAGGGATGAGATTAAAAGTAAATTAACCACTTAACAAATTTTAATTTATGTATTTTATTTGATGAGAAAATAAGATATGATCGAAAGTGTAAATTAATTTTACACTAGCAGATGAAAAATTTTAAATTAATAGTATGACATAATTAAGTGATGAATTTCTATTATACGAGAGTGTTAATTAGTGTATATATTTTAAATTCTATATTTAAAACATCTTTAATATATCTTATATTTTTTGGAACCCCAAGAAAATTTCTCAAGATCCGCCACTACGCACGAAAGAACCTAGAGCGAAACATAATGTCTCATATAATATTGAATATTATGATTAACACATTGATTTCTATTAAAGTCCCTTAATCACTTAGAGACAATATGTTTCACAATTTAGCCGAACATATTTATTCACATATTACATATAAAATATTATCAAATTACATGTTACGTGTAGCCATTTGTGCACCTGATATAAATATATGTAGTTTTTTGTTTTTGTTTTTTCGTATTTTAAGTTTTATTTAGGGTTTGTTTTATTAATATGCATGTATAATAAAAAATATGTTAAGAATATTATATATTAAAAATATAATGGATTTCACATTGATTAAGCGTCAAAACCGATGTGAAAACTTACCCCCTTCCCATATCTCCTAGGTTATCTATCTGGCTAAGATAAAAAGTGTCAACTATCCCCTCGACTAATAGCCCAACCGATGGAAAAAATATAACATATTTCCTCGATTACACTTGATAATCGAGATGAAAAGTGTCAAATATCTTTTTGGTTCACATACTGACCGATGTGATAATTGTTTTTCACCTCGTTTAGTGGCCCTATGTAAAAAAATCATACACTTATTATAACACTTGTCTCTATGTTATCTTAGAAGTTCAACCAATGCAACAGTCTAATATAATCGATATGAAAAATATTTTAAGTAATAGTTGTTGTTAGTTTTGATAGGCTGAATATTGTTAGTGCGTGAGACACGTTTAGTGAGGGGAGAAAAAGAATAAATGAAATAAGAATTATATTTTTAACTTGAATTATTACAAATAATGATACAGACTAGTCTATTTATATACAACTAATTTGTACACTAAGTAGACGAATAAACTCTAATTGGGTTTGGGATTGGATTACACAACTTGGATTATATCTAATATCATCTTTAATCTTTCAACATACCCCCATAATCTAAGTTGTTGAACCTACGCTAGTCATAGTCGATCTAAATTATTCCTAATTTCTTTTTCAAATTAAGGAATTTGTCGATCTTCAATCTTTTGGTGAAAATGTTGGCCATGTGTGCTTCACTTGAGCAATGCCTAAATTCAAGTTCACCTCGATTTACGTTTTCCCTCATGAAGTGAAATCTAGCTTCGAATGCTTACTTCTTCCATGCAAAACTGGATTCTTTGCCAGATTTATGGCTGACTTATTATCGATTTGCAACACAAGAGGTTTCTTCACTTCGACCTTCATTTCTTCAACTACCGATCTGATCCAAATTGCTTGACATGCAACATAGGATCCGGCTATATATTCTGCTTCACATGATGATAATGCCACCATCGGTTGTTTTTTGAGAACCATGAGATTGGGGCACCAAAGACTTGAAAGAAATATCCAATTATACTTATTCAATCTTCCTTATCTCCACACCAATCAACATATGAAAAATAATTAACTCTTGCTTCTTTTCCTTCAGAGTCACGTCGAAATAGTATTCCACAGTTTATCGATCCTTTTAAGTATCTCAGGACTCGCCTTGCAGCCTTCATGTGTGACACCCTTGGTTCACTCATGTATCTGCTCACTAATCTGAATGCGAAACCTATATCTGGTCTAGTGTTGCACACATATCTCAGAGATCCCACAATTTACTTGAGCAAATTTACATCGACTTTGTCTTCCTCTCCATTCTTCTACTTTACATTTGGTTTGACATGTGAGGATGCATGATTCAAATCATCCATTCTGAATCTCTTGAGTATCTCTTTGACATACTTCCTTTGATGTAGCACCATAACTTGCTTTGACATTTGAAATTCCATTCCTAGAAAATAAGACAATTTTCCCAGATCCAACATTTCAAATTCTCTCATCATCAACTCTTTGAACTTTGACAAGTTCTCCAAGCTATTTCCACTTACCAGCAAGTCATTGACATATAAGCAAATGATTGTTATATCTTGTGCTACAATTTGAACATGGACACCATACTCAAACATGCATTTTATAAATTCCAATTCGACTAAGTATGAGTCGATCTTCTTGTTTTATGCCCTAGGTGCCTACTTGAGGCCATAAAGCGCTTTATGAAAATTATATACTTTACTCGCTTCCTTCTGGATCACAAACCTTGGAGGTTGTGTGACATAGGCCTCTTCGTCTAAAGGACCATTAAAAAAATTCTAATTTCATATCTAAATGAAATGTCGACCAATCTTGCTTGCATGCCAAGGCTACCACTAGTCGAACAGTCTCCAATCTTGCTACTGGAGCAAATACTTCAGAGTAGTGGAGTCCTTCCCTTTGAATAAAACCTCGAGCTACTAATCTTGCTTTATATCTTGCTATCGACCCATCAGTATTGTGTTTCAACTTGAACACCCACTTCAGTCCAATAGCTTTTGTTTGTGTTGGAAATTCGACTAACTCCCATGTGTTGTTTCTTTGATTTCCTATAACTCTTCGACCATAACAGACTTCCACTGTTTAATCTTTAAAGTCTTTATAGTTGATTGGTTCATCACCTGCAAGTAAAGAAAAATGAACTAATTCTCCATCTGGTGTGACTTCATCATCACCAACCACTCCATAAGCTTGAAGTCTTGCTGGAAGAACTCTAGTTCTTTGAGGTCTTTAGATTGTTCCAGACAAACCCTCTTCGACTTCGACAATGTCAAGATTTTCAGCAACTACTTCGATTGGAATATTTGTAATTTCTTCGACTCTGACTTCATCAATTTCTTCGTCAAAACCATAGCTCACCAATGACTTGTTAATTGCATCATTAGAATTCCAATCCCAGGTAGAATTTTCATCTATCACAATATCTCGACTTAACACAATCTTTTCGTTAATTGGATTGAATAACCTATATTCACCAGTTTTATGATATCCTACTAGAATCATAGGTTTACTCTTGTCAACGAGCTTCCTTCTTCTCGCATTAGGAACATGCTTGTAATACATAGAGCCAAACACCTTCAAATGACTCACTAATGGTCGTTTGCCACTCCAAACTTCTTCAGGGACCTTGCTCTTCAATTTCTTGGTAGGGCATTTGTTCAGGATATAAATTGCAGTCGAAACAGCTTAACCCCATAAGAATTTTGGCAAATTCTTCTATTTTAGCATGCATCTCGCCATATCTAATATGATTTTGTTTCTTCTTTATGCAATTTCATTATGTTGAGGTGTACAAGGAGCAGTTATCTCATGATCGACACTATATTCTACACATAAATTTTCAAATATTTTGGATGTGTATTCGCCACCTTCATCTATTTGCAGAACTTTGGTCTTCTTCTTACTCTGATTTTCGGCAACTATCTTGAATCTCTTAAAAATTTCAACACTAAATAGACTAACAAACCCTAATTGAACTTGAGTTTGAATTATACGACTTTAATTACATCTAATATTATCTTTAATATTTCAACAAACACATGCTCCCACCCTTTTTGTTTTTTCTTTTCTTTTTCATATATTAATAAAGAAGTTTATTTTTTCAAAAAAATTAACCATATTAATTATCAATGTATTTTTAGTCATAAATAATATTAAAACAAATTTAAAATGATAAAGTTATTAGATGATATAAAATTAGAAGAAAAAATTACATTAAATTTTTTAAATTATAGTAATCTTTTAAAGTCATATTATTTTTGGTTAAATAAATTTATTTTCCATCTTAGCTTTTGAATAAAAAATTATATAGAATATTGCTAAGAGTATCTAGAAAACACGTATTTGATACTTATCAATATAGGGAGTTGTTTAAAAAAAACTATAAATTTGATTTTTAAATACTTCTTTATTTTCTATAATGAATATTTTCTCTAGTCTTTAATATAAAAAAAAAAGTTATTTTTTTTTAATTTTATTAAAAAGTCAATGTATTTAGATTATATATAGTACAAATACATTGATTCTTCATTGAACTTATAAAATTAATAAATAAAAGAGAAAAATAATTTGACCAATACCTTTACTATAATAAATATAATATTGAATTTCATATTTTAGTTGACTATAATAAATATATTTTCTACTATGCTAATTTATGTATTTCACTATATATAGTTGAACATTAGTTGCGAACAATACAATCCACCATAGTACAAAAAAGAAAAAAGAAAAATGGATAGTGAGAGTGGAATTCCAATTTTGGATTTTCGAAAGAGTAGTGGAGTGACATTAGATGAAGGAAGTGAAGGATGGAAAGAAATGAGTAAGAAAGTGCGAGAAGCATTTGAGAGTCATGGCGCTTTTCTTTTAAGGTGTGATGAAGTACCAAATGAATTACGTGAAAAAATGTTCACAGGCATGAAATCTTTGTTTGAACTACCTGAAGAGACAAAGTTGAAGTTCTCTAGCTCAAAAGCATATAGAGGCTACACTGCCAAGAGTCATGTCATTCCTCATTGTCAAAGCTTTGGAATTGATGACGCTCTTAAGCCAGATACAGCTGAAAACTTCACTAATCTCATGTGGCCACAAGGAAATTCAACTTTTTGGTAATTAATTATTTTATTTTATTTTGTTATTATATTAATTTTTATCTATATTAAATATATTTTACTTTAGTAATTTTATTTTAAAATATTTTATTCTTTGGTAATGGAATGAGGCCTAATAGATTAAATATATGCAGTGAGACACTAAGTTCTTTGACCTCAAAAACAAGAGAACTAAGCTTACTTATCCTAAAGATGGTTGTGGAGGGCTTTGGCCTTCCAGAAAAATATATTTCAGAAGTTGAGGAGTTGAATAGCTACAATGATTCAAGAATGACAAGGTACCAACTTCCTGAAGATAACAAGGATTCTGAAATTGCTTTGGTGCCTCACACTGACAAAGGCACCATAGCCCTAATATGTCACAATGAAGTCCAAGGTTTGCAGGTGTTACCAAAATCAGGAAATTGGGTTAACGTAAATATTCCTCCAAATGGTTATATTGTTCTTGTGGGTGACATGTTGAAGGTAATATATAATTATGTATAAATGATGTATTTATTCGTTATTATAAATCAGATATATCGTTTAATAAATCTAATTTTTGTGTATTTTAATTACTTTAAATGTATACTAATTATTTATATATAGGCATGGAGCAATGGGAGACTCCAAGCACCAACACATAGAGTGGTGACAAGAGGAGACAAAGAGAGATTGGCATTTATTCTTTTTGCTGTGCCAAAGCAGGATACACTTATTAAGGTGCCCTCTGAATTGGTAGATGAAGATCACCCTCTTCGTTACAAGCCCTTCAAGTATGAGGACTTCATAGATTTTCATTATACAACTCGCACTGAAAAGGGAGTACTTGAACAACTTGCTGGAATTTGATGTCATACTATATGATTTTCTTTATGTCATAATATAATAATGCAGAGTATTTGGACTCTCACTTTTTTGTTGTTTGCAACAATAGTGAAAATAAATAAGAACTTTTTTCTTGTTAGAAGATTGAAAAAGGGTTCCATTCTCACTTTTGCAATAAATAATAAAGATTAATTAAATAAATGTATTGCTTTCTTTCTTTCATATAAGTGAGTTGCACTCTAATCTTATTTTAGAGTATTATACCAGCGAGCAAACGAGTAATATCATGTCTATTTTTCTTTTCTTTTCAATTTCTTTTTATTTATAAAATAAAAAAGAATAAATTAAAAATACATTTTTTTAGATATTTAATAAAAAAAAAAGTGTTAATAAAATAATTAAAATAAATAGTAAAATTGAAATAAAATATGATTACGCTAAAAGTTACCACAAATTATGTGTCTACTTTGTATTATTTTTATGTATGACCATATTTAGAATATCAATCTAAAATTTATTAATATTCTAATTTATTTATTTTATTTCAACTCATCAAATCATCCTATTATTAATATAATTAAGAATACTTTGAAAAATAAATTTTAGTTTATCCTTAAGATTAATACAATTAGTTATTATTTTAAATTTTTTGTAAAATCAAAAAGAAAGACTTAAAATGAAATAGATTAATTATTTATACATAATTAATTAAATTACAAACATAATAATATAACACCTCATATAATATTATCTAAAATCATATTAAGTAAAGCGTTAAATTTTGGCATTGGGTACAATCATCATCTAGATGATCCACAAATATAATACATCAAAGTATATCAGATGTCCAATAAACAAATCAGAAAGTAACACAACAGAATTATCCATCAGACTTCTAAGTCTTCTTGCCAAATCTTCAGACTTGTAGCTAACTTGAAAACAACAAGATAATTGGACTGAGATTACTAAATCTTACAAGTTCACTCGGCTCTACAAGGTTCTACTACTATTCTCGTACTACTAGTATTTCTCTCATGTAGTAGATACACAACGATAATAACGAAGCTTTGCTACATTCTCAACATATGTGAAGGCCATACTCAAACTACACTTGTCATGTAGTTCCAGGATAATTAGCCCCAAAATAGATCACAAGGATTCCTCAATTTATCAATCAGATATGGTCGATGGGATACCCGACCTATGGATTACACACTCCATTAGATATGATCAATAGAATACCATACCTCTACTGCACGGAGTACACTATATACCTAATATGGTCAATGAATTTCATACTTCCACGATATGGATCACTCTATCCACCCGACATGGTCAATGGATTCTAGACCTCCAATGCGTAGAATACGTTATGCACCAGATATGGCCAACAGACACTAGACCTCCACAGTGTGGATTACACTATTAATCAAATATGGCCAATTGATACCTACTACTATAAAAAATACATCTAACGTCGGACACAAAATGCATTTGATATCGGTAACAAAAATGAGGTAAATAAGTTTATAAAAGGTTGCTTCTTATCACCTCGGATATTAAAATATTGAGGGGTCAAGTTAACTGCACATGGATTCGATTCCCATCATCGGAATTTTCATTATTTTCAGAACTGAGTGGCGCACTCCATATCAATATTCTTACCTTAGTTTATTCTGGAAACCGAGGAGTTAAGATTTATTTTTTTTCTTCTATTGTCGTTTGCACATGAATTAAAGAACCATATTACAGAATACAAAATCATATTTTGTAGATTCCTTAAACAGAGACATTGTACATTTTACCAATTCCTCAATCTGAAACAGAAATATTCATTGATTACACCAAAATACAAATCTAAAATAGAATACACTTTATAATTTTACATCAAAACTAAACAAATGATTAAGAAACAAAATCAATAAGCCATTTAATTACTAGTTTTCCCATATTCCCTCTTTATGATCATGAAGAATAGCATGTACATCATCTAAATTATTTTCATCAGATGATTGACGTACACATGTTTCTAAACAAGGAGTCTCATGGTGAAAATCTTGATTTTCATCAACGTTGTCGGGAAGATGTTTTCCTTGAAGAACAATTGACAATCTAGTGTTAGATGGATCAGTGACATAAAAAACTTGTTTTTCTTGGTTTTCCATGATAATTGGTTTGTTCTTGTAAGTTGCCTTTCAAATATCAATCTTTGTGAATCCTAATTCATCAATTTCTACTCCAGTTTTACTTCCAATCCACATGCACTTAAATAAAGGAACTTTAAAAGAATCATAGTCAATCTCCAAAATCTCCTCAATGATCCCAGAGTACGCTTTAGATGCTAATACTAGATTGTTATCTTTGGAACTAGAAAAATACATGGATTCAACCTCAACCATAACACCACTATTTTGAATGGTGCTACGATCATCCTTTGATTTTGTGTAGAACAGATATTTACTTATGTTGTATGAACTCTAAGTAATTACATTAAACTTAGGCAAATGTGAAAACAATTTGCAATTATCTGATGCATCACTCTCTTTAGAAATACTTTCATTAAATCAAGCTATGAAAGTTTTGTTATGCTCCGTCAATAATAATTTTCCATTCATCTGGGGGTATTTTTCATTTATAAGAGCTTTGTGTACGGTCAAGTAAGGATCAACACTAAGTTTATTCAATATATACAAATGTGCTTGAAGAATTACTTGTCGACTAAGTGTCTTAACATTTAAACCTTGAATACCTCAACCATCATAAAATCTGTTATTATGGACTGGGTCCGCGCTTAGTCTTCCGTCGAGCAAGGCCCAACCCAACTTTGCTACAAGAAAGTACCAACAACCTATCAAGGACTGAACCTGCATTTGTTCCTCCGTCAGGCACTATGACCGCTGGGGAACGTCTCCATCAGCTGCCCTCTAAGGACGTCTCTTCCATGTGTACGTCGAGGATGTCTCCTTCATGAAATCATGGAGTCATCCTGCTCCCAAAAAGAACAGGTCTTCACCCTCTGAGAATCACGAGGCAATTAAACTAGGATAGAGACCACGAACTGGTCTCCTCTAACCATGTAGGATCCCGGAAGTCTCCATTATAGGCCTACGCATTCGGTCCAAATGGAGACCTAGGCCCAACGCTTGGGGCTATAAATACCCTCTTTCATTAGAGGGTCAGGTACATATTATTCTACTCATTCTAACTCTATACTTTCACTCTTGCTCTGAACCTTAATTTTACATCAGAGTGTCTTGCAGGTACCCCCACCCTATTTACTTCAACAACCATAGAAGTCCAAGTGTTGTAGGCCACTAAAGATCCTTCTGATCCAAGTACGAACAATAGCACCGTTTGTGGGAACACTTTGCTTCCCCGTCTTCTTCTAACAAAGACCAAATAAAATTGAAAAATACATATCAATCATCATAGCCATCCAACATAACAATAACGATAACAACAACGAGACTGTTTCCCCCATCTCCACTGACAGTGGCAACCTCAACAATAATGAAACAACCGTTCGCAAGCAAGGTGACCCCCGAGACGGACGAACCACATCCTCCTCGTCCGAGGAACACCCCCTCGACGCCCATCAGCAGGTCGACCATCCCGAAGAGTATTAGAAAATCCTTGTGCCACCCAATGATAATCCCACCATTATCGCCCTGTTCACAGCCGTCAACCAAACCAACTACCTGATTTTCCAACAGAACGAGTGCATTGGGATACTGGAGAAGGGTAAACAATCATGTCGTGGACCCGAATCTCTCAGCCCATTCCTGTGGCGGCGAGATGCATGCTCCGTTTCTCCCCGTTGGAGACACCAAAGGGACAAATACTAGAGCCTCTATCCTCGACGAACCGCACGAGGCCCTCAACTGGAGAGACCGCAGACCACTGTCGCTAAGAAGCGGGATCGCACCTCACAATACAGGGAACGAAGATCCCCCTCTCCTAAGAGAAACAAGGTCGGTGGGCAACCAGTCTTACAAAGACCAATCCTACATCGCCTACGAGTAGAAACAAGCCGCAAACATTTCTCGTGGCTCTAGAAACTGTGAAGGGATTAGGGTCCTGAAGTACGACGACATTGTGCCTCCTCGACGGGACAGGGACAAGAAAAGAGACGAACTCCCCCACGACTCTCGCAAGCACAGAGGCCTAGAGGTCCGCTTTACTAAATATACTTTGATAATCGCTCCCTGCAAGCGCGTACTCACCGAGTGTATCAACTTTGAATTTAAGCAAGGCGGTGTTTGATTTCCCAGGCCGACACCCTCTAAGGAAAACACTAACAAGACCAACTACTTTCGTTTCCATTGGAGCCATGGTCACATCCTTAAAGATTGTGTCTACCCCAAGGATGAAATCGAAACCCTCATTAAGGAAGACCGTCTGAGGTAGTACACCTGGAGGAGAGAGCCTCCCTGACAGGATCTTCGCGAGAGAAATAGGGCCGAGGAAGAAACTCCACCCTCAGACAATGCTTGTAATATACAGGTCGCCTTGTGCATCTCTTGACCCGGCTACTTCTTTGTCTCTAAGGAGGACGACCTCTCCATCTCCACTCGCAGCACCTGGGAAAGATTCCCCACCGCCATGGTCATATCTGGTGGGGAATTCAACAAGACCACCGTCGGGTCAGTGAAGAGAAAGTTTGAGGAGATGATCGACATAAAATCAGCTCAGAACACAACCCTCGACAAGTTCCAAGGAAAATCTAACCTCATTATTGTTTATCTCGAAGAACTCTCGTGTGGGGCACCAAACTCTAGCATCCCTCTGCTGGAAAGGGCAAAGATGGCAAACTTTAACGTCCGTCGAGTTCTAGTCGATAAAGAGATCTTTGTCGATATAATATATGTGAATCTATTCACCATTCCCCAGCTCGACCACACGCACTTGACATTATATGCAGTCTCTTATCTATAGGGTTTTAATGGCACAAACACCAATCCCTGGGGTCACATCGAGTTGTTGATCATCTTCGAGGAATAAGCAACAGCCAGACAAGTCACTGT